CAGCCTGATCGCAACACTGGGTCAAGTTCTAATAAAAAACCGAAACGGTACGTCAATAAGGCCTCCGCTTTTATTTTGAGCGGGTCCAACAGAAGATATATATATATATATATATATATATATATATTACTATACGACGCAACACCTTGCTGTATTTGAGCGCCTCTGTCGCTGCCGTCAAAGCGGTAGAATCGCAATTCATGTACGTGCGTGCGTCAGTAACCCACTTTTAATTCTATTAGTGAAGAGAGGGATCTCCAATCGACTTGCATTTGCGTTGTAAAGCGTCCCCTTTTAGAGCGCAGCTCTTAGGGGCCCGTTCCCGGCTTGAGCGGCGTCGGCGTCGGCGTAACCAAGGTCACGCGACCCCCAAGGTCAGCCCAAGGTCACGTGACCCCAAGGTCAGCCCAAGGTCACGTGACCCCAGAGGTCACGTGACCCCTCCCCCAGGGTCACGTGACACCCAAAGTCACGTGACCCCCCCCCCCCCCCCCCCCCCCGAAGTCACGTGACACCCCCGAGGTCGCGTGACCACCCCCCAGGGTCACGTGACCCAAACGCCGAGGTCACGTGACCTCCCCGATGACATCGTCACTGATGACGTCACCGGCATCCGCATCGTCATCATCACTGATGACGTCATCAGTGGTCACTGGTGACCTCACCGGCATCCGCATCGTCATCGTCATCATCACTGATGACGTCATCAGTGACGTCACTGACATCAGCATCGTCATCACCGCTGATGACGTCATCGGAGTCCGCATCGTCATCGTCACTGATGATGTGGCGTCAATGATGACATCATCGGCATCGTCACGTGACCCCCAAGGTCACCTCAAGGTCACGTGACCCCAAGGTCACGTGACCCGCAGAGGTCACGTGACCCCTCCCCCAGGTCACTTCACCCCCCCCCCCGTACCCTTCCCTCCTCCTCCTCAAGAGCTGCGCTCTAATTCGGTGTTACAGGGAGTTGTAAACGGCTTTCACTTTTTTTCAACTTATTTTTATGTGACCGCAGAATGATAATTTTGAACACTGTTCCGGTTCACAACGAATAAAAAAATTTGCGTCACTATTTGTTTTGTTTGCTGTTTAGTTACTAAACTTGATATATCTTGAGTCTGTGTGCCAGGAGAGGATCGTCAATATTCCTTCACTCTCTCTCTCTCTCTCTGCAAGAAAAGATTACTTATTTTTTTAAATTTCAGTCATGAATGCTTAGTTACTGGCCTTTGTGACGTGCCCTGTCCTCGTCCTCTTTATTTTGCTTTCAATTTATGCATCTAACATTGCCAACACACTCTTATTGGTTGGCCGAGGAATGTCCGGGTTTGACGTTGTAGAGTTACTTGGAAAGTAATTATGCCTGCTGTAGGTTAACTACATGATTTTAATAATATAAAAAAAGAACTAGAGTACGGCCGTCAGTGTAAATCTCTTTTCAACTATGCGCTCAAGTCAGTGCTCAATATGGGCTATGATTATCTGCCTCATTCGCCCTCATGTCTTTCGCTGCTTACTCGCCTTCTCTTGTAAGCATCAGGGAACAAAATTGATAGAAATTACTGTGATAACGCGGGCGAGCCGCTGTGTATATGGACAATTTGGTTTAATTGCCCGAGACTGGGGCGAAAAAAAAACTAAAAATTTCAACCGTGTATGAGAGATACCTCTTTCTGTCCACGGTTGATGTTTTTTTGTTTTCTGGACCCAGTCTCCACTAATTCATCAAAATGGAAAATTGGCTAGTAAGCAAGGTGAGCTGGGTTCTCAAATTTAAACTTGTTTAAAAAATAGTAACTGCATAATCGGCTTTATTTTGTCGACACCCACGGGGAACCATCCTAGCTATTACATTAGGAACATCTAACATTGCCAACACGCTCAAATTGGTCGAGCCAGGGATGTTCTAGTCTAATTTTGAGAGGCCCTTGGAAAGTAATTATACATGTTGTGGGCTAACTACATAATTTTAATAATAAAAAAAGCTTCAATACAGCCGTTAATTTCATTTCAATTACACGCTCAAGTCCGTACGCAATGGGGGCTACAATTATCTGCCTAATTTTTCCCCAAGTCTGTTGCCGCTTACCCGCTTTCTCTTGTTAACATCGGGGAACAAAATGGGCAGGTAAGCAAAGTGAGCTTGGTTCTCAAATTTAAAGTCGTTTATATAAAAAAATGGTCACTGCATATTCGGGTTTCGTTTGTAGACAGCCATGGGGAATCATCGTAGCTATTACATTAGGGACTTATCGTTGAACGTCAGTGTCAGATTGCGGGCCCTACGGGCGCCAGCTCTTACCGCCCCAAGCAACGGAAAATTCCTGCATGCTCTCGCGTGTGACCTATGAAAAGTGACTATTAATGTGACAAGCAAGCGTAGCTGCATTACTGAATCACGCGACAAGATAGAGAAACAATAATTAAACCTGTCCTCCGCACAGCTGGCGATTCATGCTTCTGGCGATCTTTCTTGAATCACCTCCCAGGAACCAAACAAAACTTTTCGGGGGGCGGATACCTTTCTGTTTAATACGATGCAGTGACATTTTGTACCTTTTGCTTTCGGTACATTACTTTACGAAGCGCGAGGCCAGCACGACAAACACACCAGCCTCCGGCGTCGTCTGCTCCTCGTACTTCTAACAAGTATCGGCGCGCCTCGCCAGGGGGAGGAGTGGCGCTGCGTATGCGCGGCGAAACTTCAGCCGCACAGCCCTACAAGGGGGCGCCGCCAAGCACCCCTCTGGATATTAATGCGAAAGCATTAACTGTCTCATGGAGCGAGCCGACATCATCAGCTTTGAAACCGCGCCAAACGACACCTTAAATCCTCTCTCCAAGTCAATCCAGCTCCCAGCTATGAAACCACGCGCAAAGCTAGCCAACAGCACCTTTTACACTTCGGTCCCATTGGCTGGCGCGCGTCGTCGAGGCTCCCATTCACCGGACGCGCAGCGCCAACACGCGGAGAGGAAGTATGATGTACATGCTTTCGCATTCACAACTCATAAGTGCTTAGGTGTACCTCGAGCCTTCTTTTTAGCTTTGTCATTTGAACACAGCGGCCGACACCATATGCTCGATCGCTGCTCATTTTTTGGAATGGTTCTCAGCTGACAAAAGGCTCATTTTGGGTCACCACTCACATGTTTACTAACAATGTGGTGTACCTAGTGACCCCCCCCCCCCCTCCCTCCCCCTCCTCTCTGCACCCCAAGCCCTGACCGCAAGCCTACGCTTAAACCTAAAAAAAAAAAAAAAAAAAAATTTTTTGTTTAAATTTTCTGGTGGAGATTTTTGTGCCGAAAAATAAATTTTGCGTGAAACTTTTTTTTTTTTAGTGAAATATTGACGACGAGAGATTTATTTGAAGTTCTGAGCACAAAGTTCATGACGTCACGGGATGCTCATTCGCTCTTTCCATTTCAACGTGAAGGCGAAGCCGATCGACCGCTCCTCCATGTGCCCTAATTGCCGAGAGAAAACAAGTGGAAAAAAGGTGACTACCGACTAAATCGCGTCCTCAAGCCGTCAATAATGCATAAAAAAAAAGATTCGCGTAAAATTATTTTTTCGACACACATGTCCCAACCAGACCGTCTAAAAAAACCTTTTTTTTTTTCTCTTCAGGTTTTTTTAAAGGGATGCTTCAACGAAATTCGAAATACACCCGTAGTGTTTCAAAATAAGTTGAATATGATCCACAATATCCGTAAATGACAATCGCACGTTTGTATCTTGAGCCTAATGGCTGTATTTTTCGTTATAAACGGCCCGCTCTGGCAAGCGCTCACAGAGCAGCGAGCGGACAGCACGTGACATCTGCCGCAATCGTGACGTAGTTCGTCTCGGGACGCGCAAGGCTGCGGCGAGGCTGACGTCGAGCGGATGTCAAAGTCGTTCCAGCCACCGAAGCGGCTGCTTTTGTACGAATTTTGAGTGACGGGTTAATCTTCCATAATCTTGTAGAGGGACAATAGCAACTTCTGGGTTACACAAAATAGATTCTCGGAAAGAGGGGAGTTCATCCTTCCACTCTTCTCTCGTGGTGGCCGGAGGCGAGACACTTACTGTCACTACCTGTCAAGGTTCCTAGACGGGCATTACAAACGAGACGTTAGTGACATTCACCAAGTGCTCTTTGCTAATCATTTAATTTGTTTTAAAATTCCTTTTTGTGTCTTTTTTAACAAGATATTATTCTGTCCGATCTGATACTGCTCCTTTGAACACATATAGACAAAAAGATAAGCGCCGAAATTTCGTTGTAGCATCCCTTTAAGGATGTAGTGCACGGTTATAAGCACACTCGGAAAAGCTAACTAACCCGCCCGAACAGACCACGAACAATGAGCAATACTGTTAAACCTCCGAGGACTGCCTGTCAGTGTTCGATACAAAAACCAAACAAAATTGTTCGTCAGTGGAAGCGATAATCTAAATTTCAAAATTCGCACACGGCTACCGTAACAGTTAGTGAGTGTAGCAACACCCGAGCTATTAGTTTCTGTATGGACGAATTGAAATTCACTCTCCTTGACGCAATACTGGTGCACATTTCTCGTATTTCATGAAATGTAGCGGTATGCAGCAAGCAGGGTAAGTGCTTTAGTGCAGTTTGGCACAAATGGAGCAAAAACTTCTGACCTTTGTTTTATTAGCGAGCAGCTTGTTTGAAAAGAATTAGGCATAAAATTCGTTTTAGGAAACCAAGCATTTTTAGTGCACTAGTTTCCAAGTATTAAATTTAATCGTTCGGATCAAGTGTATGTAAAATGAACATCTATGTATCTGTGGTACAATAAAACATGTTTCAGATGACAAATCACTTATTGGTAATTGTTTTGGTCAGAAAGTAATTAAGCACATTTGCGGAGCTTAGGTTCATCTGCCAAGAAGAGCTGTAAATGTTATTTGAATTGTCAGAATGGATGAACATGTGGTCTCAAATGTAATACAGTGTTAATTGATAGGGGTGACTGTTACGAGGGTAGTCTTCACTGTACATTTATTGGGCCCTGTGGCGATTTGATGGTGACGTCTCATCATGACGTCCTATGAAATTTGCATAGCAGTCAACAGCAATTACAGTGTTCCAACTAAGGAGAGTGCAGCAACACAACCGAACATCCAACTATACGGAACTTGATCTTATAATCAACGAACTTGGTAAAACAAAGGCACAAAAAGCATTCAGCATAAAACCCTACATTGTGAAACCTACAACGGGGTAAGGAATACATTTTTCATTGCCAGATTTTGTCAGATCAACAATACTCAAAGCAGGTTGCTTAAAAAAAAAAGTAAACATGAAATAATTTATTCATTTCCAAAACAAATGTACCTGAATACACTGCGTCCTGTGTTAATCCTAATCACAATATCAATCCCCACCCCTGCCTGTTTCAATCTGGATGATCATCGTACCAATGTGCGGTCGTGTATCACTACTGCGCATGGTGCACATTAAAGACCCCAGGCTAGTGGTTGTACTGCACTGGCTAAATTGCTCATCTACAGCGAGTGATTTATCGCAACTTTGAAATGGCTGACCAACTACACGCTGTGTAAATATCCACACAACCCCAATTGTTACTAATCACATTAACTACTTTCGGAGCAAAGAAAGCACCGTTATATTACATTTCAGAAGTAATTTACTAAGGCATGGACACACAAAATTTCTGAGATACCACTAAAAACAAGAAAGAAACAAACTTTTATTTTAAGTATCCAGGAGCATCGATAATATAAATAGCACTCCTGTAGATAGGAAAAGCATGCTTAAGGCTGATTCACAGATTTGCACTTGACCGCGCCAAGTGTGCCGAGTTTGTTGCGATTTCTTGCAAACGCTGGCACACCGACGCCCAAACCGGGTGGCTCTGAAACACATCTGGCCTGCATATACATACATTTTTATAATTTTTTACCCACAGGGTGTTTCACCGTGGACTTGAAATAATGATGACAATGTCATAAGCAACTCTTTCTCATAAATAATGTGCTAATTTGATCTCACAAATGCCGCAAAACCTTCGGTCTACTTATACACAGGTTGGAAAAGTTTCGAGTCCATGCGGTAGTTAAAGCTTACCTAGAAGAAATTACAACACCCTCAGCACAGTCAAACGCAAATTTGCAAACCAGCCTTTACGTATGAACTATTATGATTGGGAAGTTTGGAAAATTGTACATAAGAAAGAAGAAAGCAAGAGCCAACTATTGAAGGATGCATCAAGTATGCAAACCGATTCCAGTAGCATATTTGTTTCTAGCAACGTGAAAGCAAAACTGTAACTTTACACGGTAGCTTGGCCTAACTGAATGAAAGAAATATGGGATGTTGGTTCGCAATCAGGACCAGCATTATTAGTAGAGTATACTACTAGCTTAGAGGAAGCAAATTGAAAGACAAAGAAGACAACTCATGTCAACATCGATTATAGCTCTAGACACTTATAGAAAGCAAGTGATTCCTTCTGTAACTGAGGCCACTGTTGACTATTCCAGTTATCAGTCACCAAATCCGACGGACGTAAAATTATCACTCAGATGGTCACTCAAGTTTGAGAAAGGGTGCAAGTCAATGTCGCCACAATATTTAAGACTCACCTCCTGACAAAAACATTATAAATTAAAAAAAGGATTCTGAATTCGGCTAGCTTTCCTCATAAAATGAATCAATCTTTTTTTCAGTCAATACCGAACTAGAAGGCACATGTTAAGATTGTGTCTCGTGGCGCTGCACGCTTGAATGACATACATAGCACACATACCAAATTTACTAGGATCAACGTTTACCACAGCAGAGGCTTTAGCATTAGAAGCGTCCATGTCACCTGCATCTGTGAACATGCTAAATTTTTAAAGGAGCTGGCTGGATTGCAAAATAACAAGGTGCATCCTAACATAAACATGTCATCTTTCTGTACAATGTTGCCGATCCACAGCAGCAATAATTGGAGGCGTGAGTGTTAACTTGCGCCAAACAAAACATTTGAAAAAGTCTGCTGTCAATCACAGCTGCCTCAGCTTGGCCAGGCGCTGCGTCAGCTCGTCCTAAAAAAAAGAAATATAAGGTGATTCAAGAGTGCAACAAGCATGGTTCAGTTAAGAATATCACCCTTGCAATATTCACAGCTGCCACAAAATACTGAGCATGCATCCTTGTCATAATAAGCAGCTACCTGCTAGTCTTGAAACATTTGAAAAATCAGCAAAGGACATGTCAAGCGCCCACCCCTAACTAGGTAAACTGAGAGGCTCCTTTGAGCACGTCGTTACAAAAAGGTGAAGCCGAGGTGAAGCCGAGCCTATCATGTGCCCTTTGCATTTTTGCTTTGGACCTAAACAGGCACCCATGCCCTAAGTCTGGCGTTTTTAGGCTATTTAATCTCAAGGAACATCTATCTGCCTTGAACGGCAGCCAAGGAACTCCTACTGGTCTTGGCACTGATGCAGTAAAGCAGCGCGGAAGCTTACAGACCTTGCAAACCATACTGTACATACTACATACCACAGAATGTCTACCTCATAATTATGCAACAATGGGTGGCTCAGATCTGCTTGGAAAGCTTAAGCTTGGAAAACACTTTACTTAGGGACAGGGACGATCAAGCAAATCTGTGGATCTTGTGAAACGCATAAGGTTACTAACACATAGAAGAAGACAAAATGTGCGACAGGTGAATGGAAAGAGCGCGCCCCACCTCGCGCATTGGCTGGCGATCAGATTAAAAACCAACCTTCAAATCCAACTCATCATTCATTATTTCTGACTTCGAGACATGATAACAATGTACAGTCGCCGACCGATTTTTCGGACTTCAAATGTCAGGATAATGGAGCATTCCGAAAAATGAGCAGATTATAAACTTGCCTTAATACGTCTAAGCGGGCTTAAAAAAGCTAATTATATTGCCTTGGGGCCTTAAGCTACACGGTGGGACCAAGTGGGAACAAGGGACCGACACAACACCGTCTGCTACAATTGGTCAGCGGTGCGGCAATGGTGAAAGCAAGAGGAGGTTACGTCCCTGCTTGCGTTCGGCCACTTTCTATTAGGTTCAGAATCGCTGCCTTCTTTTCTAGCGTTATGATCAAGTACTTTACTTAAAATTTTCTGCACTTCTTAGCGACACTTTGCGGCGGCGAAAGAACAGATGGGCCATGACGTCCAGAGTAGTCCGAAAACACAATTCACTGGGTCGAGATGGGAGGCACAAGTCCATGACGGCAGAATGGCAAATTAGCACAGCAAAATGATAACAATGATGATGGTAATGACGTGCAGCTAGAGAAAAAGAAAAGGCATAGCGTAGTGTCACCTAGCGGTAGGGGTTAGCAGTACTTAAGTAGCCCTGCCAAGCCAATGCTTGTGCAGCACACATAAAATCTAAAATGACTGCATTTCGATGGTGTTTCCCAAAAAATCGAACTTTCGGTTTTCAGGTTGTCCAAAACATTGGTCGTGAATATGCACTACTTCCATCAGGTAGGTCACAGTTTCTCCTCTAGGTCTGAAATATCGAACAAGTCCGAATTATCGGCGTTCAAAAATTTAATCGGTGACTAACAGGTTTTTGTGATCAGGCCAGGCAAGTGGTCTTTATTGTTAGAATTGTATGTGTTTGTTCACAAGGTATGTACTGTGTGAAGGGGAGAGAACACTTTGCTTCCTAGGAACCCAGTTTGAGAAGTCATGCCCTACGTATTTAGGATTTACTCCAAACACTGGGTGAGCACTTGCTTCATATCTTATGGTAGACACCTTAATTTTGATGCTCACCAAGACATATAGAGCTATTATTTTTACGTAGAACATTAATGTTGAGGAAATCGGTGAGAGGTGTGCCAAGAAGACAGTCAACTAACTTTTTAGTTACTCAATTATAGCGCAGTTTCTGAAACCGGGAATCCACACAGTCCACGGGCATTCAGCGTCCCAAAATTTGTTCGCTTTTCCATATTCCTAAAAATTTGGGGGTTTCACGTGCCAAACCAACGACGGGCATCTGGCACGCCCCAGCGGAGGACTGAGGATTAATTTCGACCACTTGGGATTTTTTGACGTGCAACCGAAAGCTCGGTTCCACTGCGCCTTCTCCGCAATAAGCCTCCGTCAATTTGCGGGCACCTCGGCCGGGACTCGAACCCGCCACATGGCGATCCGTAGGCCGGCGCTCTCGCCTCGGAGCCACCGAGGCGGCTTTTCCATATTCCTAAGTGCCTGACTAAATGAGTGAACAAGTCTACCGCCTTATCGATACAATGTTCACAATAAACCTTTGTCCTTTGTTGAGCAGGAATCAGGTTCTGTCCATGCACATCGATGTTTGCAAAGAAAACTTACAAAACTCAAACTTCTGATTTTTTTTTTTCTACCTTTTTTTTTTTTTGCCTTTGAAAGTAAGTACTTAATCGGGTGTATGCGAAGCTTCGAGATTTGCCGAGGGGAAGCTGTCTTCCAGAAGCTAGCAAGAGTGAATTTACAGTAAACCCTCCTTACAACAGTCAACGAGACGGCAAAAAACTTCAATATAAGTATAGTAACTTGATGAAATTGGGAGAGCCATAAAACAGTGGCGGTATCCTTGAAGGTGGACAGGAACACTGCAGAAGCTTAAAACATAAACAAACCTTGGCAATGAACAACTTTTACTGACAAGTAAAAATATAACAGTTAAAACTTGATCTAACAAGGCTGAGGGGAGCCACAAATTACTTAGTTAAATGGTAACTTTGTTAAGGGGGACACAACCCAGAAAAGAAATTTCTGCAAAAAATGTTGATTTTGAAAAATGCCATGTACATCCACCAACACCAAGAGAGTATTCCCAGAAAGTTTTGTGTTTGCACAACATAGTTCTTTTTCTTTTTTTTTTTAATCTCTTCAGATTTATTTTGGTTTATTAATGCTAAAGAAAAGGTAGAGCGAAGTATGAGCACTTTGAACATGTTTTTCTCAGTTCCACTTTTTGGCATAAATTTTACTTTAATAAAACTATAGTTTCAGAACGAGACTATCAAAAGAATTAATATTTGCGGCTTGTATGCCGAAATTTCATGGAGCCCATTACTATGAACATAGATTTTGCATTTTCATGTTCCTTTATTATAAAAAATTGTAATTTGCAAAACTTGGTAAATGTAGAAGAAACTTTTTTTTCATAATTTTTATTCGAAAATTGTTTTTTTTTATTCTTTTTCACGGTAGACGGCAACAGGCATTCCAGTACGCATTCCACCAGAAATATATCTGGTTATCAACACTATTTCTCAATGATAGATTCATTGAGCAGATTCCATGTGAAGCTAAGCTTTACTTTGCTCTCGGGGTATAGTACCTCATAAAACAGGGCTGAAACTTTGCATGCCCTCCTTCTATATGGCTGCAAACACCACCTGCATATTTCACGCCGACTGAGAGCGTTTCGCAAGTTGACATTACCAGGTAGTGTCCCCCCTGAAAGGGGCACCAAAGAGGATTCTGCAATCGCCTGCTCTCAGGCATAACTGATTCTACGGGCCCTAAGCATCCTAAAACTCTAAAATTTACAATCACATGACGCCGATTTTTGTAGTAAAATTGTGAGGAAAGGTCGGTACAGATCACATTCTGAGCCGATTTTTCCACTCAGGAAAGACGAGGCATACCCCATCAGCTTCTTAGAATGGATGCTTGGGCGAGTTGGGTATTCATATCGTAGGAGAAGCGCTAAGTAGATTCACTCACCCTCAAACTCACACTCACACTCACACCAGAAAAACGGTCATTCACGTCGCGACAGCGCGACGTGAATGACCGTTTTTCTGGTGTGAGTGTGAGTTTGAGGGTGAGTGAATCTACTTAGCGCTTCTCCTACGATATGAATACCCCATCAGCAATGTCAGCGAGGTGATGATGGGCGTTCGTCAGCCAATCGCAAGCAGTCTCTCTCGGAGATGCGCTTGAGATTGAGAGGCGGTTTGCGATTGGGCGACAAGCACCCATCGTCACCTCGCTGACACCGCTGATGGGGTATGCCCCGCCTTTCCCGAGCGGAAAATTACACACAAAAAGGGGGTTCCCAACCTTTCATCACGTTTTTAATAGGGAAATCCGCATCGCGTGATTGTTACTTCTGGATTTTTAGGATGCTTAGGGCCTGTAGAATCAGTTATGACCAAGAACAGACAATCACAGAACCCTCTTTAGTGCCCCTTTATATCGAAAATGGCATTTTTTGGGCATTAAATTTGATAAACCTAGTTTTAATGCAAAAGCATCCAGAGCTACCGCGACCAGTGTTGCGGAGTTGTCACTCCGGAGTTGGAATGATTCCCGGAATCATTCCGCATTTTCGCGACCCCAAAATGGAATGGGAATGGAATGGCGGCAACGTTCAGGGGAATGGAATGGGAATGGAATTAGATGCCTTTTGCCCGGAATGGAATGGGAATGGAATGGGCCAGGTTCTTTATATTTTATTTATTTATTTATTTTTTACGTTCAGCTATACCGAGCCAGTCAGGGAGTCGGTTGTTCAGAAATAAAATGAGCGGGAAACTGCGAACCCGCGTAAGGCCCTAGCAGACTTATGCGCAAAAGAGAAAAATGCAAAACAAAAAACAAGCGTCAAAGCAAAGAACAGAGGGGCGGGGGGGGGCAGTGGCGCCTTTCACCAGTGAAGTTCAACACATATCCGAATGCGTCTGCGCCTGTAATATTGCATGGCTGGTACGTCATCAGCCAACGTGAACGTGACCTGCTGCTCTGGTGATTCGATACCCACGAAGGAGGCCAGACGTGGCCTCGCTGTCCGGACCCAGACTTCGTACACTTTCGAGTCGTCTCGAACGCGCTGTTTCTCGAAGAGCTCGCACCTGTGCCGGCAATCTCAGATCGCAATCCACGAGACGTTTGTTTGAGTGATGCTAGGCGAAACTTGAAGACTGCCATTCATGCGTTGGAGGCGGAGAGTCGGCAGGAAGGACCGTCACAACGGGGATGCCACCGTATTGATTTTTCAACCGTAACAGAAGATAATACATGTAGTTCAGGATGCTTCAGGTGGTCTACTTTTCTCGAAAATTCCAAATGAAACTGCCTGCATGGTCTTCAACGAAGTCAGCTACAACGAAAGTATGTATTGTCCTTTTATAACAGCAGCGTGGGTAAAGTTTCATGTTCAAGGCAACACCTACAGATTCAAGAATACTACCGTAAAAACCCGCGTATAATACGAGGTTTCTTTCTAATATTAGCATACCAAAATTTCGCCCTCGTATTATATTCGGGTCCCAAATTTTTTGGGGCTTATTTCGTGCACCCAGTTACGGTTTCGGTTTCAGAATATCGTGCAACAGAAACGCCTATCATCATCATCAGCAGCTGTCCTAAAAAAAAAAAAAAGAAGACATTTTCAACGAAATGTGACCATGTGTCGACGCCATTTTGCGACAGTTCTGTACCACGTTCGCCAACCGACGCCAACTGACGAGCTTCACGATGCCAGCACCGCCAGCACCAAGAAAGCAGTACTCGGCCGCGTTTAAAAGGAAAGTTATTTTGGCCGCCGAGGCCGTCGGAAACAGCGCCGCTGGACGGTTCGGCGTAAACGAAGGCAGCATTCGAGGCTGGCGGCGTCAAAAGGCCGCCCTTTTTGCGTGCAGCGGCACAAGAACTCATTGTTATCCCGGGAGGTATGACATCTCAATTACAACCACTTGACGTCTGCATAAACAAGCCTTTCAAGGACCGTGTCCGGCAAAACTACGTGGAGTGGATGAGCTCGGGAGAGCCCGCGGTGACCCCCACTGGACGGCTTAAACGGGCTTGATTGTTCGCGCGTTCAAAAAATGTGGCATATCAAACGCGCTGGACGGCACAGAGGACGACTGTCTGTGGGAAGAGATGTCGGACAAGGCGTCGTCCGAGTCGTCCGAGGAGAGCGATAGCGATGAATGAGCGCATGGTGCTAATAAAGGTTCTCGATGCAGGTACCTTTTGGTCGTATTATACGCGGATGAAAACTTTTTTTTTCTTTTCGCGGTTCCAAAATCGCCCCTCGTATTATATTCGGGTTCGTATAATACGCGGGCTTTTACGGTAGTTCATCCCACCGTGACGTCATGTGATCAGTGCTGACAGGGGCGCCCTTATTGGACAGGGAAGTGGTGATGTTTTCATGGAGTTTATTTTAGAGGTCGAAGTCTTTTCGCATCACTGGTCAGTCAGACAGGATGCTAGGGAAGGGACCGCGGTCAATCCTTGATGGAACGTTTTTTTAAATCCATTGAGGACTCTTCGTCCGGAACCACTACCTTCAAGACGAAGTGCCAAGCCTGCGGAAAAGTAATTTCGGGACCAAAAAAAAAAAAGAAACTTCCACTTCAAACTTGAAGCCTCATCTCAGTTGGCGTCTCAAAGAAATTTGAAAAATGTATTATCAGTATTTATATTTCTGCCCTCCCTAAAATGTATTCTTGTATCTGTATTTCCAAAGACTTTTTGCCTCTTTTTAAAATGTATTTCCGATACGTATCATGATATATTTTTATAGATATATTTGAGACTTGGAGTATCATTATTTTAGTTACTATTTTCATCTATCCCAGTATTTGTATTTCCCAATACATTTCTGAACACTTCTGCCCAACCCTGCAACGTATAGCAGCTGTCAAGTGACACTTTTAACGTTTAGGAATTGGAGGAATGGAATGGAGCGACTCAGTCATTCCAGGAGTGGGAGTGGGCACAGTGTCCCCATTCCTAGGAGTTGAAAGGAATGGAATCATCAAAAACTCTAATTCCCCGGAATGGAATTGGAATGGAATGGGGGTGCCCATTCCGCGACACTGACCGCGATACAGCATTGGCGCAGAGCTCACGCGCCGAAAATGTGATTCACGCACGTAGGAATTTAGTTTATAAAGATGACGCGCACTGCTAGTTTGCAAAGGAAACCTTCGAATTCTTGAGAAAATTATATAAATTTTTTTCTGACACCGCAATCCGTGCCCCTTTATCTGCGAGAGCCAGCCGGGGCATGCATTGAAGTCCACATACCCCATCGGAGACGTGAAAAGGGTGACCTTTTTAAACCAAGCATAAATTATTTCTGCATTTTCCTCGAGGGTGAGCACTTTTTTTTCTTCGAGGCTTCATTTCACGACGATGCAGAAGCCACCGATAGGACAAGTGCACGGATGGCATCATCGTCTCTTTCCGATTCCCAGCATTCAGCGTGCACTCATATTCTGTCAGGCGTTGGTTGTCCATGTGCGCTCGAAGATCAAGAGACATGGAACTGTCCAGTAGAAATCTCGCACTCGAGGTGCGACAACTGAAAACTTCCCCGCCTATCTCGTCTTGGTGATACCCTGTTGTTCATATCCGCCGTGCCTGTCATTAGGCCTAACAAGAGGACAAACCACTACCGAACATAACCGAACCGAAACAAACGACTAGCGAACTCCATCAGTGCTATCTCTTGCATGTGACAGGAATGAAAAGCCATGAAAGATCTAGCGTCCCCTGGTATAATTGACTAAAAGCCCGTGGTGCTTAGTTTGTTTTTCCATGAAAACAAAACTAGGGTCGTCTGAACTTATTGCTGGCATGGGAGCAACAAACTTTGAGGCATTCTAAATAAAATATACTTAAAATTAAACCTTTTGAATTTTTTTTACTTCTGAGAATGCATATTTAGATTGGGTCGATGGTAAAATATATTTGGCTTTTTCGAGTTTACAAACGCATGGAGCCCTAAAGGAACCTGTGTGTGAATTAGAATTTATTCGTTAAATCGGAAATTTCGTAAAGTGGGGTTTGTAAAATAGTTTCAACGGTACGTCAAGTTTGCTGAGTATTTTGCTCGAGCAGTGGTCTGTAATGCCTCCCCAAGGCAGTTCAGGCGCCCTAATATCACTATCACTGACACTGCACTCCACTTTGTTCCAAAGCAGCTGTAGGATGTTTCGTGTCTCTGCAGACTCTGCACTTCTCAATCTGCCTCGTAAAATGTCTCTTTGTCTACACTTTAGCCGCACACAAGGTCTACCATCTGGAAATATGCAGAAGGAGCAAGAAAAAGGATGTCCGCATCGACAAGCGCCAACAAATCAGTTTTCCTTGATGGCTCCACGAACGTGTTTGCGCACACTCCTGTAGGGATTGTTGCAGCTTTGGGAGTCGTCCGCTGGCTCGGCAAGCAAGCGCACCTGAGAAAATACGGTGTGCACAAAGCAGTTGGCGGTCTTTGATTTTCGAATCACGGGTGCACTCGCCCTTGCTTGGGAAACTCTCCTTGAACCTGTTCTGCGAGGCGATTGACAGTGTCGATGCTGGGATCGCCAAGTTGTCGAACCCCTTGGCGATTCTGTTCTTGCGTCGGTCGCCTTTTTCATCGCAGACCAAAGCGACTTTTGGTAAACACTCTGTACAACGCACATGCATGCCGTACGCCAGTGTCGTGGCTTTCAAAAGGGCGGTTACATTTGGGCTCCTATGCTTCCCTGACCACATTCTGATGCTACACACAGTGTAGCGTAGGAATGTAAACACTGCTCTGGCCATGTCGGCTTTCTTAAGTGATTTCCTTATAACGAGGGACAACTGCATCCATTTCGAACACAGCTGACTCGTTGTAATTCAGAGTTGCTTTATCCAAGCTTTTGCTTGGTATAAGGCACGAGTGCCCTCGTGGGTTCCCAAAACTGCCAAAAATCCATCAACTGTGCTGACCCTAAGTAAAGTTGTAAAGTGGTTTTTACAGTTTCAGCATTACGGTTTACGAAGTCTGTAGGCTTCTACTGGCTTTATTGCACCGATGGCGACAGAAAGAGAAGTTCCTCGGAATTCAGTCGAGCAGGATGGGGGGTTCTTCGACATCGAAAGGATTGAGAACTCCAAAGTTAGCGAGTGCTGTCTAGGTTCTCTCAATGCATCAATGACATGATTGAGGAAATTTGAGAAACTGTACCTGTTCAGTGGAAGCTGCACTCGACTGCCCGATCGTGCTGTTCACCCCCTGGGGCAATTCCATGTTCAGCTCCAGCCTGGAAGGACACGGGAAACGAGAGAAATTAGCCCGTGCTTGATCAATGCCAGCTTCCCTGTAAATTCAATTAGTAGCACAGTCGGAGCTCTTGTCGAGCGCTGGGTCACTCAAATGTTTGCCAAATGAAATGTCGCTCGATGTGACCGAATAAAAAAGGAAGGGAAAGCAACCTTACCATGAGCACCTACACCATCATTAAAAAGAAAAAGAAAGACTTTATACAATAAATGCTACTTCAAATCAGTGCGAATTACAGTAGAGCCTTGTTGACACGTTTGCCACGGAACAATGCTAAAATAATTCGTAATTTACTAGAAACAGAATGAACGATAACAGTTTTAAGGGCCTATAAATGAGACAGGAAGTGACACTCCTGCAATAATTTATTTCATGGGGACCTCTATGGCTGTGGAGAACTACCATATTTGTTCAAATAGGGATCAATTATTTTTTTTTCTTCAAATATTGTCTAAAATTAGGGGTCTATCTATAATTGATATCAAAGAGAATCGGATGGTAAAAGTCAGCAAACGTCCCAAGGTCATTGAGCTAAACCAGATGCTTTCCAGTGTTAGCGTAGATCCTAGAACTCAAGTGCAAAACAGTGAAGCCTGATAACCACAGGCTTGCTGCGTGCGGTGCACAATTAGAAACTCTGAAGTCCACACAAAATAAATTTCTGATGCCAAGTTAACCAAACACAGCAAATATGAAAGAATGTGAGAGAAGAGATGGAAAGGTGAACAGGCAATTGTGAAAGCCTAAACAGTTTTTAAGTGTGGTTAGTCCAAGGTCATGTCCGCCTGGCAAAAAGCACTGCACACAGAGGCAAAAAGGAAAAAAAGGGTGGGGAGTAGAGCAAACGGAAGAGTGCGGCTGCATACGGGCAGTCAATCACGGTGCGCCGGTGCGGCCCTTTCTAGACGCAAGAACCAGAAGACTGACACAACAAATGAGGAATTGACAGACATATCTCTATGGGACATTCGACAGAACCGGCATTCCTGAACCTAACAGCTGTCAAAATGTATAAACTGAGAATGTAACAATAAGGTTCTTTCGTAGTGTGAGATATTCAAAGGCAGAACATAAGACAATGTGAATTTCAAAATTGCTGTTCTGTGAACTGCTTGGCCACTAATCACAAGTGTCACTTGTGCCATCCATTGCAAACCAGAAGGTTTAACCACGAACTGGGCTTATAGTTCAGAGGCTACTCCAACCTTTACCTCACCAACCCTTGCTGTCAACACTTGTCATGGGTTTGTTGCTGTTAAATATATATTTACTGAGTTGCTAAGTTACGGTCTGGTACTTGACATCAAGTATCTCTGGAACTGTCACTGGAGTGTGTGAGCATGGTAAGGTATGCAAAATTGGTTGCTTTATACCAGGGGTCTCAAGAATGTGGCCCACAGGCCACATGCACCCTGTGTAGCTCTTTTAGCGGCCCACTCCCCAAGTTCCAGTCTATGCTCACCCGCCTCCTCTCCTCCCCCTCTCTCTCTTTCCTCAACTGTATCCATCATTGAATCTTTGTATCAACTTTGGAGAAAAAGATAAGCCACAAGGGGACAAAAGCCATGTTCGGGGTTTTGTCTCTCTTTTCTAGTCTGGGAGGAATTCTATCTAGGTCACAGTCACACAATGTGCCAACAGGACATAGTGACGTCACTGCAACCACTAAGTTATGATTCAGATACTCCCGAAACACTAGTTGGAAAATATTTCCGGGTCTTCTTCCGTCCGCCCGATATTTCGACTTATTGGCGCTGGCGTCATGCTTGGTTGCACATCTTTCAGTTTTGCTACAGCAGCTCTCACAAAAACAAAGAAGCTCTGAGGTGGATGTTGCAGTGCTGTTGGCGAAGCCATCTACGACGCGCAAAATTGAAGATGAGAAGCAAATGTTTCAAGAGCGGTGTGAACTTGCCTACTCTTCACAGAATCGTGGGACAAAGTGTTGTGTTTGATTTGCCAGCAGGCCATTCCAGTGCCCAAGGTGTATACCATCTGACGACACTTCAAGTCATGCCACAGTGAGAAGTATGATGCGCTCGCTGGAGAAATCCGTGAGGATGTGGTTTTTCAACTCAAGATGTCGCTAAGAAAGCAGCAAGACCTGTTTCAGAAAGCCGACCAGACAAGCGACAAAATGGTAAGAGCGAGCTTCATTGTCTCTGAGCTTATTGCCAAACCCTCAAAACCGTTCAGCAAAGGGTTGTTCACCAAAAAGTGGCTGCTTGAAGTTTCTGACACTGCATGTCCAACCATAAAAAAAAACCTTTGAGAAAATAAGCCTTTCGTCAAACACTGTGGCTGAAAGGATTAACGTGATCAGTGACAGCATTGAAGAATCATTGCAGACCCTCTGTCATGCCTTTGACACATTTTCAATCACTGTCAATGAGAGCAGTGATGTCACGGACAATGCTCAGTGCACCATTTTCGTAAGGGGCATAGACAAAAATTTAAACATCACGGAGGAACTCTTGGATCTCGTGCCGATGAAGGAAATGGCCACAGGAGCCGAAACCATTTCCGTCATCAAAAAAAGTTCTCGAGTGTGCCAAACTGTTATGGGAGAGGCTGGTTTGTCTTGCAACTGACGGTGCGCCAACAATGATTGAGAGCAAAAGCGGGCTTGTCAAACGACTGAGGAAAAAACTCATTTAACTTGGTATCACTAAGCAGTTTGCAGCGGTTCACTGCATTCTTCATCAAGAGGCACAGTGCAGCAAGTTGCTGCAAATGAAGAGCATCGTGGACATTGTATTCAGCGCAGTCAAATTCGTTTGTTCAAGAGCACTAAACCACCAACAGTTTCTCTCTGTTCTGGAGGTGGCTGATTGCAAGCCATGGTGAGCTTCTGTATCACACTGAAGCACAATGGTTGAGCCGCATGAGGGCTTTAAACATTTTTTTGATCTGCGAGAAGACATAGATGCTTTCTTGAAGAGCAAGAACAAGGTCACCGCCAGGCTGTCAGACGCGAAGCAACTTCTATCTTGGTTTCCTCACTGACATAACTGACCCCCTGATGTGACTACTTTATGAGTGACGGTGGCTGAGTCAAGGTGCGGTTAACTGTGTTTATTATAGCGAAAGAAAGGCGTCAAGTCAAAACCAGCGCAGAGCATCTTCTGCGTGCCGGGGAGCGGCGGTGATCCGCCGCTGCTTATGTTTCAGCCAGGAGAGAGACGGGAGAGGGAAACTCCGCCGGGCCCCGCTTGCGAAATCGGGGGTGTCGGGTTGTTTTCCGTCAATCGGGGAACATGGCTCGCACCGCTGGCTCGTACGGCGCGTACGTAGCACTCCTCCACCCTTAGTTTACATTAAGTGGCTTGAAAGCGCGAAGGCTTCCGTCTCGGACGAGTTGACCTTCTTGGCACTGGCTTGTTTGGCGCCTCGGGAATGCCGACGTCGTCCACCCATGTGTCGTCCTCAGAAGTTGGTGTTTCCATTTCCGGAATCTTCAGCCTGATCTGGTCGGCGTGTCGGACAACATCGCCGTCTGGTGTAGTAACGATTGCCATGCGCGCTCCCTTCGTCTCCTTTACGACTCCCGGAATCCAACGGGAACCCGATCCGTAGTTGCGGGTAAACACGGTTCTTCCTGGTTGAAGTCGTTTGTCAGCGATGATCTGAGGTTGTTGTTCTTCCTTTTTCTCCAGCCGCGCGGGGTTAATGAGGTCCAATCTCGAACGTATCTGACGTCCTACCAAGAGTTCTGCCGGAGATCTTCCTGACGTGCTGTTGGGTGTTCGCCGGTATGAAAGCGACCAGCGGTCCAGCTTTGTCTGTAAGTCTTTGCCAGAAATCTTTTTCAGCGCCGACTTCACCGTTCGCACAGCCCGTTCGGCGAGTCCATTCGACTGTGGGTGATATGGTGCAGTTCGAACGTGACGCACGCCGTTCTGGGATGTGAAATCTTTAAAGGGCTGTCCGGTGAAGGGAGTGCCATTGTCCGAAACGATACAGTATGGTACTCCAAAACGAGCAAATAATCCTCGCATTACTTCTACGGTCTTTTCTGAAGTAGCACTCTTCACCGGAACAGCCTCAATCCACTTAGAGTAGCTGTCTACTACAATTAGCAGCATTTGTCCGTCGACTGGCCCCGCATAGTCGATATGGATTCTTGACCAGGGTATGGTCGCTGCTGGCCACGACAGTGGTTCTCTTGAGGGCGGCATAGGTTGCGCTTGCTGGCACTGATGACAGTCGCGGGCCATGTTCTCGATGTCGCGATCCATGTTTGGCCACCAACAGAGCGATCTGGCCAGGGACTTCATCGCAGCCATGCCAGAGTGGGCGTCGTGTAGCTCCAGCAGCAGTGCTCGCCTTGCCTTTCGTGGAATTACCACTCTTCTCCCCCACACCACAAGTCCTTCCTCCACCGACATCTCCGCTCTACGAGTCCAGAAGGGTTCGAGAGTGGGATCTTGTGGCTGAGTTGGCCATCCTTCCAGGATAGTCGTTCGAAGTTTACTCAACTCCGTGTCCGCAGCTGTCAAATCCGCGAGTTGTTTCACCGAAAGTGGTCCTGTTTCCAGTTGCTTCACAAAGGCCACTTGCTCTGGGCTTGTCGGTGATTGACTTCCATCATTCAGTGGAAGCCGGCTTAGCATGTCGGCGTTGCCGTTGCACTTCCCAGCCCTGTGGCATATGTTGTACATGTATCCACCAAGTGTCAGAGCCCACCTCTGGATCCTGCTAGCCGCTGTTGCTGGGATAGCTTTGTCTTCCCTGAAGAGTCCAACAAGGGGTTTGTGATCTGTCACCAGTGTGAATTGTCTCCCCAGGAGATAATCTCTGAATTTGGTGACACCGAAGATCAAGGCAAGAGCTTCTTTCTCGAGATGCGAGTAGTTCTTTTCAGCGGGCGATAAGGTCCTAGAGCGGAACGCAATCGGCCTCGCGACGCCATCGATCAGGTGAGAAAGCACCGCTGCCACTCCATACGTCGAGGCATTGCACTCCAGCAGTACTTCTTTC